GGCTGACACACAACTCACAGGCAAGACATTGGCAGCAACCCAGACTCCCACCGACAAGAGATACAATACAAACAAGAGCTTCTCCAGATTGTTATGAATGGTTGTGTCCTGCAAAAGGACTCCTCCCAAAGTCTCTTCCTATATTCCTCGCTTGGGAGGGGCCAAGCCACAACTACCTGGGCTTGATTATCTCTTATGAGTCTGTCTCCGTAACTGTTGCCTTCGTTTCTCCACCCTTCGTTGCCTGGCATCAGGGACAAACTCCCTTTGACCTTCCCCATTGCTCCATTGCCTGGTGTCAGGGACAAACTCCCTTTGATCTTCCCCACTGCTGCATGTCTCAGGCGTCTCCTGGTGGCCAACCAGTCTCTCTGGTCCCTGCTCTGAGTCTGAACCCTGCCCAGGGTCCCCCACATCTTCCATAGCATACTCATAGGATTCCTCGCCATCGGAGTCCATCGGCAGCTCCAACGGCTCCTGCTGGGCCACAACAGTATCCTTCCCTCCTTCCCCAACATGAGGATCAGATATCTTCAAAAGGTAAGGAGGTGGAGGGTGTGAAGTCTGGTGGGTGTGAGCCAGGCATAAGGAGATCCTTGGGAGAAGGAGAGGCCTGTGGGGACCATGGGGTGTGGGGGGAGACCATGTGGAGGAGAAAAGGATTGAGCAGACACAAGGGATAGGAAACAAGAGCACAGGCATCTTGGAGGGTGGGGGAGGCCTAGGGATGCCTATGGCAGGCAAGCATCAAGACACTGCACTAGGCTTCTAAGAGTTTTCCCCTGCATTGAGGTAGTCAGTATTCTGTTTAGCGACTTGCACATTCAATTATTGTTTCAGGGAGAGCAGGGGGATTTGGGTAGTTAAGGAAAGCAGTCTCACTTAACAGTCATTGCAACATGGAACCATAATTGCAAATCTCATAATAGTTGCATTTTGAGGACTACTTTTATGCTGGTTGGGGACTTCTGGGGTTAAAATCTGGACGAAAACAAAGTAGAAGACTGAAAATCCACATGTGGAAATTCCATAATCAACATATGAAAGCACCATCCAAAATTTCATTTTGAGGAATTCCATTACTTTTGCAAAAGGAAATAGCCAGAAGATTCTGCCAATAACAAAAAAATGGCAGTTAGCCATTTTCTACTTTTCTTTTCTCTCTACCTACAAGTTTAGTCCTGATAAAAGTTTGGAGTAAAAAGAATCAGGCCAGAATTCAGTCAATTTCTCATGTACACTTTGTGAATGGAAAATCATAAATGAAATTCAAGACTTCTCTAAACTCTTCAACTTTTGACTCATATGAATTTCCTTGTCTGCAATAAGGGATGGTTTATGCTTAAAGTAAAGTCCACAGACTGGACATTTGAAAGTTTTCGCCATGGTGTGAGTCCACTGGTGCAATACCAGGTAGGAATTCCGACTAAAACGTTTTCCACAGTCAGGACATTCCAAAGATTTCTCTCCTATGTGAGTCCTCTGGTGTCCCATGAGGTGGGAATTTCAACTGTGTGAGTACTTTGGTGAATCATGAGGTTGGAATTCTGACTGAAACTTTCCCCACAATCTGAACATTCAAAAGGTTTCTCTCCTGTGTGAGTCCTCTGATGTGTCACCAGGCTGGAATTATCACTGAAACATTTCCCACAAATAGGACATTCAAAGGGTTTCTCTCCGGTGTGAGTCCTCAGGTGCCTCATGAGGTGGGAATTTCTAATGAAACATTTCCCACAATCAGGACATTGAAAGGGTTTCTCTCCTGTGTGAATCCTCTGGTGTCTTACGAGGTGGTAATTCTGACTAAAACGTTTCCCACAGTCAGAGCATTCAAAGGGTTTTTCTCCTGTGTGAGTCCTCTGATGTGTCACTAGACTGGAATTGTCACTAAAACATTTCCCACAAATAGGACATTCAAAGGGTTTCTCTCCTGTGTGAGTCCTCTGGTGTCCCATGAGGTGGGAATTTCTAATGAAACACTTCCCACAATCAGGACATTGAAAGGGTTTCTCTCCTGTGTGAGTCCTTTGGTGTCGTATGAGGTGGGAATTCTGACTAAAACATTTTCCACAGTCAGAACATTCAAAGGGTTTCTCTCCTGTGTGAGTCCTCTGGTGATTCATGAGAAGGAAATTTCGACTGAAGCCTTTCCCACAATCTGGACATTCAAAAGGTTTCTCTCCTGTGTGAGTCCTCTGGTGTCTCATGAGGTTGGAATTTCCGGTGAAACATTTCCCACAATCAGGACATTCAAAGGGTTTTTCTCCTGTATGAATCCTCTGGTGTATTACCAGGCTGGCATTCTCACTGAAACTTTTCCCACAGATAGGACATTCAAAGGGTTTCTCTCCTGTGTGAGTCCTCTGGTGTGTTACCAAATAGGAATTCTCACTGAAACTTTTCCCACAGATAGGACATTCAAAGGGTTTCTCTCCTGTGTGAGTCCTCTGGTGTGTTACCAAATAGGAATTCTCACTGAAACTTTTCCCACAGATAGGACATTCAAAGGGTTTCTCTCCTGTGTGAGTCCTCTGGTGCCTCAGGAGGTGGGAATTTTGATTA